GGTCCTGGAGGGCCGGTGTCCTGCAGAGTTTAGCTCCAACCCTAATTAAACACACCTGAACCAGCTAATCACGCTCTTACTAGGCATACTAGAAACTTCCAGTCAGGTGTGTTGAGGTAAGTTGGAGCTAAACTCTGCAGGACACCGGCCCTCCAGGACCGAGTTTGGACACCCCTGGTCTAGAGTGTCTTTATGGTGCGCACATATTTACGCCTAGTTTATTTTTTATAAATCCCGATATGTGCGTGGAAAATTGCGTGCGCACATTATATGTACCATGCCCATTTTGTGCGTACGCAACGTTTATACATCAGGCCCCTGATGTATATAATGATAGAGTGAGTGATCACATCAGTTCAATATGCTAAACAGACTCACACTTAAAGAGTACAGCACTGCAGTCAGGACGGTTTAACTGTTCTCTGAGCTATTAAACAGCTGAAGTGTGTAAAGCCTAAAGCGTTGACCTCGCTAATGCTGGATTGAATGTTTACTATTGCTATTTCTGGGCTATTAAGAACATTTATTTTTCTGTCTGCCACTAAGATTTATTCCTAAACAAAAGTCAAATGTTGAGTCTTAGATATTCAAGTTCGTCAAGATTTAATAAGGATATTGCGGTTATACTGTAAAGTGCAGTGAATCTAAAAACACTGTCTATCATACATTTCATGACTCCTCACTGAACTTGTCTGGATTGCTGCAGCTGTTTAAGATGAAGTTTATCAAGCCTTTTTGTTTCTCACAGTGTATTTTCAGTGTGTTGAGAGTGAATAAGCAGGTTGTTATTGAACGGCCCTTACATCCCCTCACACACAGAACTAGCTAGCATCAAAAGAACTAGTGCTGTGCAACTACTTCAAACACAGATGCCTTGATGGTCATTAAGTGTAGTAATCTAATGAAACTTCATTAAGTCTTTTCAGTGGTTTGGGGTTCAGTGTTTGTTCCTCTCAGGGCTCTGTTTTCTCTGAGACAAATACAGTGTAATAGTGGAGTTTTTAATGGAGTCATAACAACGTCATGTGATGTGTGTCTAATAACTACGGAATATAATAATTGGAAATGTCTTCGCCTGTGGGGAGAGCTGCGCCCTAGATTCAAGTTGATATTTGTTAACAAGACATTGTGCAAACACAGATGATGTCAAATATGGTGCTAATTTCTGTACTTCAACTGATAAGAAACAAAAGCCTAATTGTATTAATCTGAACAAGTATTAAATTGAAGTGTGTATCTCTTTTTAAAACATCTGGCATCGAACCCGGGTCGATCGCGTCAAAAAGCCAAGGACACGCGCTTATCTATCTGCGCCACTGGAGCTGATGTTTTACAGCCACTTTTAACTAAATGTAAATAGACACCCCGTATTTTTTATTCCATAGTAAGGGCAATTCATACAATACATTTAAACTGAGCTACTTTAATACCATCTCCGAACTTTCTACCACGACTCTGCTGTTCTTCGGCTGGTTCTTCCTGTATACGTTGATTGACAGATGTCTCGTCCAGTCAGCGGTGAGTAATCCCAAACCAATGGCGCTGTCTCAAACTATACCTACCTTTTCCGGTTTGTCTGATTTGTCGTTGTGTTTTCTGACTTGTTATTTTGTTTTCGAATTTGTCATTGTGTTTTCTGACTTGTTATAATGTTTTCTGAATTGTTGTTGTGCTTTCTGAATTGTTATTTTGTTTTTTAGACTTGCATTTGCGTTTGTAATTTGTTATTTTGTTTTCAGAATTGTGATTTGCTTTGCACTTCTCTGCCACCGTACGATTCACATTCACAGCCCATGATAAACTCGTGAATTTTTAACATTCAAAAATGTTGTACACAGTTGTACATCTGTGAATTGTGTTTTGCATTTGTGAAACGTATTTTATGAATATATATTCTTATTTTGTGCATGGGAATTGGTTTTTGTGAATATATATATTTTTTTCGTGCACGTGAATTATTTCTCATGCATGTGAATTGGGTTACGCATGTGTGCATCGCGTCTTTTGCGTGAATTATTATTGAGATCATTCTGGCTCCATAGTATCAGATGGTAATACTGTGGTACTATATTTAACACCTAGTTTTAGTCCTCAAATCTGATTGGGAGAGAGGCGTTGGGAGAGAACAGCACTGGTGCATTTCACCAGGATTCCTCCTGCAGGCTACACTGTAACACCAGCTGGTGGCAGTGACTGCCTTTATGAGTCAGTTATTGAACGATCTACTCAAACAATGAATCATTCAGGAACTAATCAAGTGACTGTCTTTATGGGTGAGTCACTCAATTATTCACTCAAATGATTCATTTAAAAACACTGATTCATTCAGCAACTAATAAAGTGAATGAATGTTTCAATGACTTCAATGACAAAGACAATCAACTAATTTGTTTAAAAACACAGATTCATTCAGAAATAAATAAAGTGACTGCCATTATAAGTGAGTCATTGAAACATTCAATCAACCAATTTGTTTAAAACACGGCTTCATTCAGGAACGGCACTACTGTGTGTATTTCTCTGAGATGTGCAACATTCCGCTGCAGCTTTGTTTGGAAATATGTTCTTTGATGAAGCAACTAGCAATATTGTGTCTACAATGTAGGTCAGTAGTAGCTATATTAACTTTTTTCTATAAAAGCAATATCACACTCACTATGTTGCTGTTTCTCCAAATATTGTTGTATATTCAGTAAACAAAACACTTGCTCCTGTGATATTTATTATTAAATATGCTATTATATGTGTTATAAAATGTCCTAAACCTGGTTATAATGACTACAAGCAGATTGCAGATTTGTCTATTTACCACAAACCGTCTTCGTTTCAGTACTGCTACAGTATATGCTGATATATACTGAAGGATTATTATATTTACTTTCTGATACGCCTGGATCTGGGTCTTGAGGTGTCTAGACGGGGGTATTCTGGTATTATTCTGGGTCTGGATCTTGACATTTCTGACGGAAGGTGGTTGAGCTGAAGTACGTATCTGATTACCATAGAGCTTTTGTCTCTCTCTTCAAGAGCATCAGTCATGTAATTGTTCGTTTCAGCCTCAGATGGCACGCCCACGGACAGTTGGCTGAAGGTCGCGTTCTTTAACATTCCACCTGGTAACAAAGATGCCGTGATGCCAAACCCCCTCATGGAAGAAGAAAGCCGTCGTGTTTACAGCTGTGACAATGAGTGCTTATCAGGATCAACTAAATGCTGGATTTTCAAAAGTATGTGAAAAATTTAACATTTGCCGTACAGACGCATTAAAATATGTCCAAGTCAGAATGTCTAAGGTTCCCAGACCTTATGCTGTCAGTCTGAATGTCTGACTAGGCAAGACTATGTAATTGCAGTATGAGTCAAAGCCCAATTAAAAAAGCATGAAGTCTCTCATCCATAAAGAACATTAACAATGGCCAATTAAACCTGGACTGTCTGATTCTGATTTACTTGCTGAAGTCATTTAATAGAGCAGCTCTTTCAGTCATTCACCTTTGCGTTGATGTTCATTGTTCTTGGCCTCTTGAATGAGCTCGTCATTCCACCATAATCTTTGTAAAGGTAAAAACATTAATCCTGTGTGAACGTACAATCCTAATGGAGACTCGTCATTATCAGTGAAGCATCTGACTGCTGTTCACTTTTAAAGAAGCTTTTTTTCTCACAGAGCCCTGTAGGTTTATCAGTCGCCATGACGATAGTAGCTTCCTTCCAAAACTCTGCAGCTGCTTTCAGCCCAATTCATGAAACATGCAAATAAGACACACACACACACACACACACACACACACACACACACAAGCTCGGTGGACAATCATGTTACAGTTTCCAACAGTTCCTCTTCTTCTGTGGCTGATTATAAGATGTGGTTTTAACAGCACCAGAGGTTTAACTGCTTCTGTTCTCATTGGCATATGAATGGTTCCTGAGATGGGCTCATGGAGGTGGAGGCGTTTAAAACAGCTGATTCGCCGTCTGCTGTGCCACTGATACACAGATTTGAGTAAAGGAGCTATTTAAAATATGTTTGGAGGGAAATATGATTATGGAGCTGCGTGTCTTGTTGCTTTGCTGTGTCTGGTTTTTCGGTTAAAATTCAATGATCTTTGATTATAGCAATTAGATGATAAATACGTTTGATTAAGGGCTAATCCACATTGATATCTGGGATTAGATCTTTTGTTCTATGATGCACAGTTATGTAGTACAGAAGAACATTTGTCTGTTTTAAAACATCATTTACAGACGAGCAAGATGGTTCATATGCAGTGGTGTCTTGGAAAATGTTTGGTTTGATCCAGCCACTGTTTGTTGTATTTGTTTACAGTTACTTGTTGCATTGTATCACAAACCTGGTTTCCCGTCATTGAGCTTGGATCTTCCTCACTGTGTGCAGATCTCCTGGCAGTGCCAAAGCATCCGTATGCAGCCATGGAGAACTGGGGCCTGAGTGTATTTGTGGAGCAGAAGATCTTGTTGGATCCTGACGTCTCTTCCTTCTCCTATCAGATGGAGCTCACCATGGTGGTGGTGCACGAGATCTGCCATCAGGTAAAACACATTTACTGTAGTAAGCATGTGAGCTGCTCTATAGTATAACAATGTTTTACGGTCAGAGTAAAACTACATCTTGCTGGTTTATACAGTATATACACAGGGAAACAAGATCAAATGTGTAAATAATAAATCATAATGGACTAATTTAAACAATCATATCAATAGATCAGTCAGGGACACTTTTTTGACATCTTTTCTGCATCTCCATTTGAGATGCACAACTTGAATCAGCCCTCAAAGAGGCCTTATTCATTTTTGCACAATAATATTTTGATTATAGATCAGTTTTATTTACACAAATGTAGATTTGTTAAAGTTGGATTTGTTAAAGTTTGTGGCTTTAAAAATATTTGAAAGTTTGATTTCAATCCTTAAATCAAATTAAATAATAATAATAATAATTATCAATTGTGTTTAGTTATGTATGTGATTAGCAATGATGCCTGGTTTGTTATTTCAAGTGGTTTAATAAAAAAAATAAAAAAAATCCAGCAGAATCCATTCAGATAATGTAAGAACTACTCAACAAAAACGATGATAATAAACGGCCATTAAAATGATAGAAAATTAAATTATGGATCAATCGGGTCTGCGAGCTGTTCACTGAAAACAGCTCCGCTTATTTAACAGTAATCAATAAAACATTTATATGAACTAAACGCACCTGAAGAATAGACTCAAAAAAGTGACCTTTTGTGGGAAAAATGGATGGTCCAAACTGCCCAAAACATGAGAACATGCCAAAACATGCGTTATATTAAGAAACTCGTAAGAAAAGCGTAGCAGCTTTTGCTATCATGTGTTAAGGCACATGTGTTTGTTTTAAAGGGGTCATATGATGCGATTTCAATTTTTCCTTTCCCTTTGGAGTGTTACAAGCTCTTGGTGCATAAAGAAGATCTGTAAAGTTGCAAAGACTAAAGTCTCAAATCCAAAGAGATATTCTTTATAAAAGTTTTGAGTCAGCCACGCCTACCTAAAACGGCTCATTCTAACACGCCCCCACATGTCTACGTCACGATGTGGGAAGATTTGCATAACGCCGCCCAAATGTTCATGCAAAAAAAGGTGTAACTGTAATTCTTGCTGTTGCTGCCGCTGCCATGTTGTGGAGTTGCTGTGTGTTTCAGTGTTGAAAGCGAAACTACTTTGTTTGGCCTTCCAAAAGAGGACACGACTAGAAATCAGTGGTTAAGTTGAATTTACAACAGTGTTGCAGAACAGTTCAACCCAAATATTCAGATGTGTGCTGCGCATTTTATGGAGGATGAGGACTGTTTCATGAACCAGTAGCCTACAATGCGTCTGTGGCACAAAGGCTGTTTCTATAAAGTGGGGAAGTTCCAACTTTGCAAGGACAGTCTGGCGCTTCTGACTCACAGCCTGTAAGTACGTTTTTTATATTTAAAGAATGTGCCACTGATGATTCAAACGCTAGTTTTAAGCAGTGTAGAGTAGCGCTTGTTG